TGTTACGCTTTCACTTTGATACGCCAAAATGATAAGAAGAAAATGTATTCGCAATGCCCCATTGATTACAACGCTTCTTTAGTACGCATGCTTTAATTATTATTTATACCTTCGTTTTCGTTCGCATATTACTGAAACGAAAGATATTATTTGGTGATACGCGAAGGTATTCGGCACCATCGTTCAACATTCCGCCGCGCCAATCGACAAATAAATCAAAATAATTACGCCAAATATCGCTTTTAAGGTATCGTCTTCTCTTCAACGTACGTACAATCGCTCAAACCATATTTTCTTTACCTTCATATCAATTCGCAATTTATTCGAAATCGAAAAACATCTCTCGTACGTCATCTCGCCCGTCCAACGTTGATGAAACCGCATTCCGATGGTCGAAATTCCGAACTCCTTTATTACGGTATCGTTTATATTCTGTTTCTCGATGAACGATGAACGAAATCTGTGCCGAAAATCTTCAATATTACAGGGTTAACCATGAATGAAGGTTTTCAAAATAAATCCGTCGCGTAAAATTCTTTGTTGTTTTCCAGCGGGGCTTTATTCGTTTATTTATCAACGATTCAATGGCTGCAATCGCCAGAAATAAATTATAACGTTGATGCACTGATACCGGCTCTTTGAAGTCGAGATGAACCGACCGAACATCAGTTAATGCAACCGAAACTCTTCGCCGCCAGTTACCATCGCGAGGATAAATGAACAGAAAGGTGCGCAGGCAAACAAATCATCGACATCACGTGCATAATTGCTGCCGGGCAATATGAGGTTGAAAGGTAGATGAAAGTTAATTGATCGACAGGTATAAGTAATAAAAATGTTTTATTGTTGTCTTCTGCGGGTTGTAAAATTTGTGATTTATCGATGCTAATCAAAAGCGAAGAAAACGAAATGGATTCTTTTATTTTTGAATATTTTCTTTATAAACTATTTTGTTTAATAAAATAAACTTCGCTTTGATTAAAGGCTGAACGAACACTATCATATCGAGGATGTCGTGGAACGAACTTATTAAAGTGTTTGTTTTGAACAAATAATTGGCGGGTATAACAATATCCGATTCGCGATGCGAGCTGGGTATTTACGGACTTCAAATAAATCTACCGATGCGCGATATTTTAACGATATCAACCATTACGGCGAAAGCGTCTTAAAACAACCGGCATCGGGTGTCATTCGCTTCCACTTCCCCGATCTAATCCTGGGCTTTCAATATTGATACCGAAAAATTGAACAAAGCAGCCAGACGACACCATCCTGGTCTGGTTGGATGACTCAAAATATCGACCGTCCATTCCGAGTTATGGGTATTAATTCCGGGTGTCGGTATTTCAGTTGATAACATTAGTTGATGCGACTGGCAATCATTCGGTGAATGTTGGGCTTCAATACGTTTATGTTTAAGAAATATTTTATATCAAATGAAGACGCATGGATTATTATAGTGCCGACCAGTAGTCAATATCAACAATACGTATTCAATTTATTCTGTTGACCGTTTAAATATTCGAATTTCGTACCGCAATATGATAAATCTGACGCAAAAATATGACCGAGCGGTCATTTGGCATATTTGAAACTGCGCTTGATTACCGTTAACGGGAACGGCTGGTCGAACAGTAAAATGGACTTACCCGTTTTGTCGAAACTTCGCGCAAAGGCGGTTTTGAATTCATCATTTGTTTCGCGTCGCTAATAATGATTGATATGACGATTGTTAGGCTGCTATTTACCACTATGAACCTGTCTCGATAAATACGGCGATGGTCTATAAACCTGGGGTTTAATTAATTTAAACTCGGGTTAGAGATCGGTCTAGCGCATATGATAAAAAGCGCTTGACGTTTTCGGTGACACTAAAGACCGTCTGCGGCTCTTTTGTTTTATCTTTTGCCGCTCTCACTGGAACCGGCTGCGTACTTTGTCGACTTAGATACCCGTTGCGTTGCTACTGGCATCGGGAAGAGATCCTGTTTTTGTTGGTTTGGTCTATATATGAGTTCGCAGTGGTGAATGTATTCTCCATGGCACGGTGCGTAGATTTTCCGACCACGAACTGATGATTCGGAGTTCGAATCCGGGTCGGGTGATTAAAACAAAGGCTAGTATTTAATACTTTACTGCTCAGATATAGGCAAATAAAATAAAATCTTCGCCTGACCCGGTTGAACTCTGGTCGTCTGGAACAAATTGATTGAATACCGCTGCTTACATGGAGACATTGTTCGATTTATATTCAATGACGGTATATAAAAAAAAAAAAAAAAAAAAAAATACTAAACAAAAACCGAGCATCTTAAAACCACTGTATTAATTCAATCTAAAATAAAAATGTGGCAATATCTTACGCTGACGCAATTGTAATGATCTGAAAGGCCACCTATTTCGTAATACGACGTTCCATTATGGCTGGTGCAATGGTGGGCGGTACGGAGGCCAGAAATCCGGAGGAAATGACGCTGTTATAACGGCGATAGCGGTGGCTTCCCAATTTGCTTTATTTTGCGCTTCTGTTCGCTTTTGTGTTAACGTGTTCCAGCTCTGCGATAGTTGTTCGTCGAGAACAATGACAGAAACCATTGTACCATTCAATCTCTTTGTTACATGTATTACGTCGAACAGGTTTCGCCAGCAATCCCTGTAAATAAATTCCCGCGGCATTCCCGACCGTGCGGGTTGTACTGTCGGTCGATCTCGGCGTGTTGAGAACAATTTACGGTTGACGGCAACTGAAGCCAGTGAACCGACTTCTTTGTCGCGGCAATGAAAAGCGTTCTTCGAACAATTTCGTCGACCGCCCGGGACAATTTTGGGAGCAATTGATTTAAGAGACAGGTTTTACGAATGAATGCGATCGGTAGTACTGACTAGTCTGTGACCAGAAGTGGTGGGACGCGGCATGACACGAGCTTTCGAGAAAATATGCGTTGCAAAGGTATTATTGACTTCAAGTGTTGTCTAGCGGACCAGCCAGCTAACTATAAACTCATATTGTCCGGGCTTTTATGCTGCTTTGTTTGTGCCGTTTAAGAACCAAATGTATGTTCCGAGATTCATTTATCAGGATTGATCTTTGGGATTACCTGACGATAATCACCGAGAAGTTAGATACCGAGAAAAATGCCATTGGCATCGCGTTCAAATGACCAACTTTCGTTGTTTCGCCAAACGTTGTGATAAATATTCGCGCTGAAAACCTGGCAACCGAAGGTGCCCGTGATCTCTCGTTCGCCCGGCATTCGAAAAGCCGACATTTTACGGTGGTAAAATGGTTTGTATGACGTTCCTATTTATCTTGAATTCGTAACCGAACACGGCTCTGTACCAGAAGCGCCTTATGCAACCGCTCGATGCGTATTAATTTTGTTATTGGTTTTATCACTTGATTGCCGACTGTTGGCGCGGTTTTCGGCTGATATAAAGTCAGGCGATATGTCGCCTATTTGGATAGTCAACATTCCAACCTTTCGGAAACAGCATTATTGAGCCAAAGAAGCTGACAGCAGTGAATCACCACAATCCCCACCGCTCCGAAGATAAAAACTTCTTCGAACATCAGGCGGTACCCGTGGCAGCCACGCTGCTATTTCATTGGCGCGGGGCAATGAACGAACGCTGCTCCCGAATTTATTCCTGTATTAAAGTCGGTATCAGCTGTTGGAAGACCGACAGGCTTCAGGCGCGGCGACTGCTATTCGCCTGTAGTGATAAAACGATATTAACGGCGGCATGATTACGAAACTCGGCTGCTGCATTTGAAGATTATTGTGATTCAACGACTTTCTGTTAATACCGGCGTCAAAAGAGGCTGATTGATTTACGGCATTGATGAAGCCGCAGCAAACACTATAAAGGTGGCATCAGCATGCTGACGAGATCATTGACGTATTCGTTGAGTATACTGTTTGACAATGATGCATAATACCGAAGTGACTATTTTACGCTGAGGATAACGTGCCAACTTTGGGAAAGTGAACTTTCTTTCGCGATGTAACGGAAGCGGAAAACCAGCTGGCATAAATGCGTATAATGCGCGGTATTCCGGATCAACCTGCAATTACGCAGGTGACTTTGGCGGCCGCACCAAGCGCTAACAAAGGTATAGATGAACAATGCTGGGTTGCTGTTTGGTGATTTTGAATTGTTGGTTTTGACGGAGACCAGACACAATTGATATGGCCAGTATATTTCCAATGACCAAAAGAGCAAAGAAGACTGGTTTACGGCGGATACTAGGCGGTAGGCTACCGAACTTACCCGGACGAGCAAAATACCTATTAACTGAAAACATTCAAGGACACAAATTGAAGTTGATCTTCATCGAGAGAGTACACCCGCATGTATCTACAACCTTCATGCCATACGCTGAATTTTGACGCACGCATTTATCATTGATTTTCATCACCACCACGGAGTAGAGATAGATACCGGCTATCTTCCCTGTACAGCTCTGTCTACTAACAAACATTTGACCAGATGCGTAAAGCACAAAATTGCGGGATGTTGGCTTTTAACGTCGTTACGTAAAACCATCGGAATCGTCAGTATCAACAATTACCGACGTGTATTACGCCAGAAAATACGGTGGCTTTATTCGCCGCTAACATTGTTGAAAAAAGTCGTAAAATTGAAAGGACTGCCACTATGCTCAATAGAAACAAACCGTATAAAAGTGGGTACGTAACCAAAATGGGCGCGCGGATGTTTTTATTATCGATGATTCGCGAAATCCGAATTTCCCGTCAATCGCCGATGTTATGGTGTGAAACCGACACTAATATAAAATGGGCTTCCATTGGAATTTTCCTGTGTATTACGATGGCAAATCAGTATGGAGATAACGGGCGATGCTTCTGACTATTCGATAAAATGTGGAATGTTAACTGACATCAACTCGGCGGTCAATATAGTTCATGGTACTCCGGTTGGTATTCCACGGAGACGCGGTTCTAAAGACGCCAAAAAGTAAAACCGCTTGATAGATGTATCGGAAAATACCTACGGTACAGAAGACTGTTTAATTCCGAATAGCGTGAGGGTGAAGACATATAAAGAAGCGAAAGAAAGACGCAGGCTGTCTCTGGAAGCGGTATTGAGCAACAATTTCCATAACATTACGTTACCTCTAATACCGATAGCGGTGGCGTCTTCTGATATCGAAGGTTGGGTAATGTTGAACTGTTGGGGTACATTACCAACTGAAATAACGGCTATCGGAATGGTAGCGGCTTTGGTACACAAAGGCTTCGTTAAATTAGATGATGTTCGGCGGGAAATGGACCGACGAGCTTGTTGGGGTACCATGAAATACGTGTCTGTCGAAATATTGGTTGGTGATCTTTCGCATAGGCTTAAAATGAAAGCATGGATTACATATTACGACGATTACACATACAGCTTCTATAGAACGCCTGTGGTAAGTTAGTTTTGATAAATTCGAACATTCATTATTATTGCTTTGACCGTTTTCCTTTATAATATGGCGATAACGTCGTTTTGACGCCGAAGTTACGATCGACGAAAGTTACTTTCCTTCACGTTTATTTTTATTCCTTGATACACGAGCAACGGCAGCAAGGATGATAACGTCGGGAACTGGCGGATTACGAAATCATGGTATACATCTTAATATTAACGTTTTTGTCTTTTTAAAGTACTTTTCGGCGGCACCTTAAACTGATCTATACATCTGTTAGATCAGAATGACTTTCAAGAGAATATGTTCGCTATTATTGATAATATTTGTTATTGATGTTGACAAATCTGATATTGTATTCTGAGCAATGATCGTTTTTAACTTTGTTTCTGCGGGTAGGATATATGGAAGTATCAGGTGATGAAAGAATGGTAGCGGTAAAGAGCGACTGGTATTTCATCAGGGTACGCCAATATCTTCACTGGCATAACACTTACTTTCACGCTATCGGCATATACTATTAACGTTTTATTTTTGGAAAAAGAACTTTAACGCGATATTCCCCTGTTGAACTTAGCGCTTCAATATTGTTCAACGCCGATATGGAAGAACGTAACACTATAGGCAAAATAGCGGTTCTTCTTCCCGCCGCTTCGAATGAGGCGATATTCACCGAACCGTGTTCAAATGCGTCATCTGAACGAGGTGATGTGAAACTTCCGTTACCTGTTGGCATTTAACGATCTGAAACTTAATCTTCCACATTCAGCGGCAGCTTCTTGTCGTCGATATCGATACGGCGCACACTGACGCAATACGCTCATAAAAAAAATTATTTGAATTATACCTCCCCAAAGAGATTTAAAGTCAATTGTGTTAATGCTGGAAATTTGAACCAGATCTGTTTTTCCCGAAATGCGAAAAGGGCAGCTTTCGTTTGACTTCGGTTTTGAGTTCCATTTTGCTACGATATCTTGACGTAATTATTGAAGTCGTCGTGAAATCTGAATATCTTGCCAAATATTAGCGTGTTTTCACAACTTCCATGTTGCCGGTCTTCTCAAGGCGTAATTGATAACTTTAACGTATTCCGTGGGTGATCCCCATTTTATTAGACGTTTCGGTCGGACGGATTTGTTTATAATTCAGTGACTTTGACCTGGCCCGTTTTCTTACGAAAGGAATGATTAGATGCTGCTTTAATCGCGAACCTGATAAAGCCCATAAATCATTTATTTTGTTCTGTTGCCGGGTTTATTATTGACAAAAATGTTGCATAATTGCTAAAATGTATATTTCGAAACCAATGAGAAAATAAGGTGTTTTGGCATGTCTGTTCTGCTTGAGTCAAAATAAATTCATCAAATGATAAAGAAACTTTGTTAGATGAAATTCTTCTTCATACTACATCGGACACGGACAGAATTTTGAAAAAATGAAGATAAAAGATCCCCATTGGAAGTATTGACTGAGAACTTAGATTTCGCGAATTTGATGCATTGATGAACGTGCGATTCGCGGTACGAGGTAGCAGGGGTAACCAGACGACGTTATGCGATGTATCGAACTGCGCGTTTCGCACTTCGTTACCAGTTCTTCAAGGAAGTTGAAAAATAAGCTCTGAACGTGAGGTTGATGAATACCCAACGATACTTTTCGTTGCTTCTACCCAGTTAAGATAACCAAATATCATATTATTTTTTTGCAAAAAAGTCCTCAAACTTGAGAATTTGACTGATATTTATCGAAGCTTTCATGCTTTCACTTTATTAACGGTTCATTTCGTTTCGATTCTGCATGCGTTGCTTCTATTCGTCGATGCGATTCAGTTCGTTGTTAATGCGATCTATGAGTTCATTGTCGATAAATCGAGCTTTCGAAATTCGAATTGCGTGAAATTGTCAATTAAGTTCCATTTATTTATATTTCTCCGGGAAAGAGATAAACCATTTTATGAAATAACTGAAACACCTCTCATCGACCAAGTACCCACTAACAGTGTATAAAAGCAATTTGGATATACTGATTAAAACATCGACCATAATTGAGACATCGAATGATTCACTGTCGGGCGTTCGGATGGTTCGATTCGACTGATAGTTAGCTATTCGAATAAAGAACCGATCCGTCTTCTGTCGACGGCAAAAACTATCCGTCGATACTGTAAAATTAACTGGTGTCGCCGGCGACATACCGGCGGCTGGCGGTCATTGGCACAATGAAGAGCGGCGCGGTCGAATATAGTCAGGGGACGACTTTCGAGGATGGGGATCTTTTTGTTGCGCTTTTACGGCCGCGTGACAGAAAATGTTAACAAAACAATAACGACAATGAACTGTTAGCACTATTACAACGACGCAGGAATTGAGATCTTAATGCAGGCTGTTTTTGAAGTAACAGGCAACGGTGAATGTCAAAGCCCATATTAGATCCTGACCCAAAACAAGTCTCAACTGTAATTACGAACGAACTGTTATAACAACAGGCCACGGAAATCTCAATGAACTCTCTTATCCAGCACCATGACTGGCTGGAAAGGAAAATATAGTAGAAAATCTTTACCTCTCCCCTGTTAAGAGGTACTGTTTTGCTTTGCTGGCTGGGCCCCAGCGAAAAATAAGTAGTAACGTGGAAAATTGGCGTAAAACGAATACAAGCAAATAACGGCACTACTTGCGATATTTCTGCTTTATTTCGCATTGCACCGTGACCAGGCGCGGTGAGCGATAAAATACTGGTAATTTTAAATTAATTGTAATTCATCATTACCACGAACCATTCGAGATGTAGTAGCAGATGCAAGATACAACCGAAGATACAAGCGATTGTAAAAACTAAAAAAAAAACTATTTTTAACTATTTTAATGAACGCACCGTCTTCTTATACCGACGGTCGCAAAATTTTGTCTCAATTTTAGCGAGCAATCCGAAAGCGGATAAACAGCTGGGCGACATGAAATGGTCCGGTGATTCCGGTTAGATAGTTCATGTTAACCGTTTAGACATAATCACTCATTGCATTATTGACCATGTTATCGTTTTATCGCCATGCTGACTCCTTTGGCTGATGACAACGGAATATTTTCGCCAAAATCGGCGTTTCGACGGATGCCTAATTTTATTGCTGCTAAAGTCGAACATAATTGGCTAAAGACCGAACGACAGCTCAAACTTTAAATGGCTGGCGGTCGCTCGATGATGACGTCTTCTGACATGGTTTTGAGGTTTGTGCTCAATATGCGGTGAGTAGATACGCTGAAGCGAATGAACTGTTGAAAAAGGAATATTGACAATTGAAAGTGGAAAACATGCGAAACCAGGCGAAGACTAGCGCTTTGTTTAACTGTATGTATGGCTGTATGGCCTTTGTAATATGTAACAGCCATCAACTTAACAGCATAATAACAGCAGCCAGCGACGCTGCTGTAACCAACAACAGCGGCAGCTACAGCGCCAGTTTTCTTACGGAAAATTGTTCGGTGGCCGGTGACTTCACCTTCATATGATATCTACCGTATGAACGCTTTAACTAATGTATTACGTCGACTGAAATGGGCTTCCATAATCTGAAGCGATCTAAAATGCGGAAATATTGGTTGCCTGACGATGACGCGAAAAGTATTGCGCTATATTGACCCGTGAGTGATGATAACATTGATGGTTTGGTGCTGGTGCTGCTTTACTATTTAATATCACAATATCATGGCAGCTATGAACGCGGGTAATGGTCGAAGAAACGAACTTTATTCGCGTGTATCCAGTTGAAGCGCGAAATCGATGAGGAGACCTTTATGTTTGTTAATGCGCGCCAGCGGCGCGTTATGTACATAAAGCGATTTCCACCGAGGACGACGGAAACAGATGCTGATGCTCAACAGCAAAGAACATAATTTTACCAGAAGACACTAAAATTTTTTTGAAGTAAAGAAACTTTTACGCCCATGCCGTGACAACGCGAGCAATATTAAATTCACGTAACGACATGAAGAAAATATTGATATTTTAGAAGAATTTTAATTTACGGCATTTCGACCGCCCTTTTTCAAACGTCGTCGCTCAAGTCGCTTCGTTGGCACCAGCCGTAACAAGGTTGCGGTATTTTTGATCACGAACGGCGTTTGATAGCCAATCCTGAACATCTTTTCGATTAGGCATATCGGTGAACGCAAAGGTATAAATCCTCGGTAACGGATGACGTATATACGTCAGGGCTTGAAGGTTGACCATTCAGTAAAGCTCATAGTAACCAATTTCTAAATATGACTACGTACGTACGCAATCGCCAGTTGAGCGCTGACGATAAAGCATTACTGAAGATCAATGCGGTCAGCGGACCACTATTAATTTCACGGATATTTGATTCAATTAACAATTTCAGATAACTGTTTTAAAGCGCTTGCGATGACGAATAATCGGTCGTATTTGAAGCCGACTTTAGTAATGTGACGGCTCTCGCGTTTTCAGAAAGGTATATTTAATGGGTAATCTTGACCAAACGTCCGGCACAACTATTTTGTCAACTAACCTCAGGCCTTTGTTTCTCTATGACGAAAATGATTTTTCCATTTTGTATTCAGCAAACGGAAAAACGAGGAGAGCAAATTTTATGGAAGGAAGGAAAATACTGATAAATATGGTGACTTTGTCTGACGAAAGAGAAGTACGACGCAGCCTCAATTCCGGGTAGAACTATTAGAAGAGTCGAGCGAAGCAAACATTTTCTTGCTGTTTGTACTTCGCCAATTAATTTGAATGCCAGATGCAAATTCACACGATAATTTCTTTGCTGGCGAAAATCCATCTCTTTGATAATAGCTGCCGCCAGGGGAACTTTATTCGACTATTGTCAATGACGAACGTATTTCAACAAATAAAATGAAAGATCGGCGTATTCGAACCGACGCGCTGCGCTTTTCGCGAATATATACCGGTAGAGACATAAATCAGGGGAGAACCTCCGAAAAAATTATTTTCGCTTCTGACCATCTAATCGTAAACCAGATTATTGATGCGTTGATGCAAACTTCCCGTGTATGTTAGTGGTTAACAGCTTTCTCCGGAATTACTACTGTTTTTATTTTTATTTGTTGTCTGCATAAACAACGCTTGCTGGTAGATGACAATTCTGGATATCGGTACGAAGACTTGGTCGATATTACTGATGAAAATTAATGTTCTTTATCGAAATGATTTTAATGACGATTGAAGCGAAGCGGCGTTTAAAGTTAGCGAAGCTTCATCTTCTTTTGGAATTACGAAAAAATAACCATTCAAAGGGTATCTTCGATTCGCCAGTTGCATTTCATTAAAATTATGGAGATCGGCAATAACTCGGTACCGTTTAACAACGCTGTTATGAAAATGGCAATATCGTCGGCCTTAACTCGAAATTCTGCCTTCATATTCTGGATTTATTTTGACATGGCACCGAAACAAGAAATTATGAATGGAAATTGAAAACTACAGTATTTACCTTTAATGTTATATGGTTACTGACCGGTTGTCGGTGATAAAGTAAAAGATGTATTATGCAATGTTGAAAGCCTTAAATAGAAGCCACAGATGAACAATTTGTAGTGACAGAGAACAATCATTTTTGGAAGATATCGACTTATGAAATTTTAAAATTGGTTATTTCACTTCGCGTTTATGGTTTGGCAGGTCTTATTTCGCTTAATTAACTTTGTTTGTGATAATCGGCACTGAGAGCTTCAAGGCTGTTTTTCTGTGCCTAACGGTCTAGTGACATTTGGAGCGGTCAAATGCGTTATCGCTGTTGATTTTATCGTGACTGGTCGATGCGTCCATTTCCGCGGTGAATTATCCACATCTTGGCGTTATACTGTTTTCGGTTGGAAATTTAGATGCGTATACGTATTCATCGGTAAAACAGTTATCTAGATGAAACTCAATGAATTGTGATTTCGGTCGATTTTCGATCAACCTCTGCTCAAACGATAACAGAATCAGCTGAACTCTTGAATCAAGGTAAAAGTTCACGTCGATTACAATGGCACTGAAGCGGATCAATGAGTCGAAACACGTTAGCTTTTAGTTACTTTTAGCATAATGGTTAATAAAGTTGTGCTAGCCAAAATAAATTTTTCGAACTTAATAGTTTATTTTAGAAATAAAAAACCTTATATAGATAATGTCGGTCAATCATTCTGAAAAGGATGACGCTGTGAGCTGACCAGCCAGAATACTTATAATGACATTAAGTTTGATGCTTGAAGATTAAACTGAAGCTAACGTATGAAACTTAATCAGAAAGGTAATCGATGGTAGCGGCCAACCGGGTAATCATTACTGAACTTGTTGATGATGGTTCTGGGAAACTTCAACCTTTGTTGTTGTTCTTTAGAGGACTTTCCTTTAAGGTTGGACTTCAAGATGTCCTTAATCTTTGACAAAGAGATCCTTCATATTATATCGCAAAACTAAAAACATATTCAAAACTTTTCTGAAATGTAAAGTGTTTTCAGGTATTGTTTGCGTTTTGTTCCATGTTTTTGTGTTTGAAATTTTTGGTGTTTTGCGGATTGCGCTTGATTGTATGAGAAACTTCGACAACGATAATTTGCTATTGAAAAAGCTCTGCGTATCCAATATGAAGATAGCAGTATCACTACGGAAACAGATAAACACTTTATTATCTGGAAGAATGACCATACGAGTTCAAATAAAGAAGCTGAAATTATTTAAGAAGTCTGTATATATTCCGTTATGACTGGATGATAGTACTATTTTAATATTTTTTGTTTTTTTTTTTTTTTTTATAATTATTATTGAACAATGGAGTATCGTGGCGGGGTTGATGACCAAAGGAAATGGAGGTAACGCAAATTTTCCGTCGCTCATCGATCTTCGCGTTGCATCTTCTCTGAATTTCAAACGTTTCCTTTTGATTTAGTGAAACTTTCCCGAAACAACCCTACTTTTAGTGCTGCGACATACCTGTAATATAAAGTGAAGTGGATGATCTGTTGAAGTGTTTGGGGCTCAATGAAAAGTAACATGAATAAAGATATTGCGATAACGTTTCGAACAGTATGAAGTATCCCCGATTACAGTCAAACAAGGATAGAACGGCGCGTTCTATTACTTTGGTGAGGATGGATAAGCGGCGTGTCAGTGTTGATGCTGCTGCATCGTGGGCTGGCTCGGCCTCACCACTCACCTTCGAACTGTACCGGCGCCTGGCCGGTTTGATGTCTGGCGAAAGACGTAATGTCGTCCATTGCTGCAGCAAAGATTAAGCGACTTGGCGCATTATTTCGAAATAGGTCTTCGGAAAACGGTTACCGTAGAACCTGGTTGGTAATACGACGTCTCGCTGGCTATGATGGGAAAAATGACCGGATGAACGATGAAAGTTGCTCATATGAAAATTTCAGGAACCGCGACCAAGCGCTTTAAACAGCCGCGTTCCTTAGTCTTCTTATTCAAAGGAATTACTACCTGATAACAATTACTTAATAAGGTAAAACCAAAAGCCCAAACTTTCTGTATGATTATTTTTAAATTTTACGTATGTTATGTTTATTTATGTTATGTTCTTTAAAAATCAAAGAAGTGATTGCCATACATTACTGACATCTGCAGATGCATGAGCAATAAATATATTTATTTTTTTACTTAAAAAAAAAAAAAAAAAATCTTTTTAATTTTTCTTTTAGAGGCTGTCGCTTCTTTAATTATAATTTTGGCTATGTACTTTAATGTTAATTATTTTGGGTACGCCACTGGATTTAATAACTTTAACTTAGTTATCCCAAGTTATCCCTTCACTGCTAAAAATACTACTGCCAAATTTAAAACAAATTACCTGAAACATATTTAAGATATTTACGGAAATCAGATTTCTTCAAAAATAAACACTCTGTATCTTAAGAACTGTACATATTCAGATCTTTATTTATAAAAAAAATCATCTTAAAACTATCCCTTGTAATTTTGCTACATACTTAATTAACACCCCGTATTAATATCCAGGTAGGTTAATTGGCGGTATTTGGTACTATTGTATAGTATGCTATGGAAACGACAGGTGACAACGGGTAAAAATATTTGAATAATTGTCATTTTCATAAAATTTAAAGAAGGTCGATACGGAATAATATTCAAATTCATATTTGTTATGGCTCGTAGGGAGGAAAATGAACTATTTTGGTAATATCGAATTGTTTTAGCTATATTGTAGAATATATTTTTGTGACTTGTGCATGCAAAGACGTTACTTAGATTTCGTTGCTTGAGAAACTCGAAAATCTCTTAGTAACAAAATTTTATTTCCAAGACATATTTTAGTGAACATGAAACTTGAGTAAGTTATTTATTTAATTTTACAGTTTATTTGTTTAAAAATGTAAGTCTTTGGTTATTACAACTCAAATTATATTAAACTTTTGTAGTCTGGTTATATTTGAAGAAAAAATATTTTTTATAATCTTCAAGCCGATTCGCCATCGAAAGTAATTCAGATATTTCTTGTTTCCGGTAATAAATTTCAGCCATTATTTACTTTTATAAATATTGATTTTATAAAATCTATATTAAATGAACAGTATAAAAGAATTTATTTCACGCCAGAATTATGTTTCGTACTATTTTTGTATATTTAATTTTCAATATCAGGCAAGTTGCAGTGATATTATATGATTAATAACTTTGAAAAAGAAACAAAAGAGTAGCAAACAAGGTATCTAAATGTAAATTAGAAATGTTTAGATTTGTCGCGAAACGTCGCAAAAATGATAATTTTTTCCTTTCAAGCCTTCCCAAATACCCACGATTTTTTCTGCATATTTGTCATGTCATTTTTCATAAACTCTTTACACTAACGTTTGTTATTTTGTTTGTGTTGCATATCAAATGACGTTTTTAAATGTAATAATTATTTGAATATTATTTTTGTCATATACGGAGTGTTGAAACACCTACTCCACTGGTAATATTTTACTACATTTTTTTTATCATTTGTCAAATTTTTAACTAGACTAGGCAGTGGCGAATCAAACTGTACGAGACAAAGTGCGTGCATGTTAATTTTACAAACAAAAAAGATCAACATATTCCTATTAGCATAAACAATACCCAAGTCCCATATGCTAATACGGCGAAATATTTAGGAACGAATTGGATGCAAAGCTGCCTTGGAAAAGCCACATCAAAAAGAAAAACGAAGAACTAAAAATTAAATTTAAAAAAGTGTACTGGCTTCTTGGGCCAAATTCAACGTTATCAATACATAATAAGATTACTACTTTACCAACAGGTTCTCAAACTTGTATGGACATATGGCATACAATTGTGGGGTTGTGCTAGTAAAAGTAATCAAGAAATTATTCAGCGATTCCAAAACAAAGTACTAAGGAGCATTGTCAACGCCCCCTGGTATTTCCGAAACAGTGATCTCCACAGGGACTTGGAAGTGGACACAGTTACCCAAACTATTACCTCATTCGCCAAGAGACAGGAAGAACGACTTCACCACCATATCAACTAACCTTGGAACTAGTTAATATGTGTTAGGGGAAAGGCAAATAGTGCTTGTGTACGCGATAGTAACAGCGACAACCAAAAAGTAAAGAGGCAACAAAGCAATGAGATTTTTGAATGTCCGGAGTGCGGTAGGCAGATAACATCACGTATCGGGCTTTTCAGCCACAGAAAAGCTCATGAAAGAAAACGCCTTGCGTGACCATCTTCTTTATGTGTGTCGAATACCCGTCAGCGAGTAACGGCTGTATGTATCTCACCGGACACTTTACGACATCGTCTGTTGAAATAGAAGGAGTTTTGCTTGCCGTCGGTGAGAACCAGCCCCTGACAGCCCACCTGATGAAGGGTAGGCCCAGAAACCGGTTGTGTGAGTGGAGCTTGGTTCCCCCCTTTACGACAAGCAAAACAATTTTCTTTTTACTTTTTATTTTTATATTTTTTCTCTACTTTCGATTTTTCGAAATTAGAAAAAATACACAGCTAAAGACAAGAAAATATTATTTATTAGTAATATGGAGACATGATATGACACTGTTTAAGTGCTAAACATGTCTGCATACAATAAGATTGGCATATACAGAGTGTCCCATTTCAGTTACAAATGTGCGTTAAGTCACTTGTTAGTAAAAACAGAACATAGCGGTTATTTGAAAATGTTGAAATTGAAAATGTTCAATTCATGATTTTACCAATGCTTATTCAAGATCATGTTTTTTACACAAGTTTTATTTTTTATCTCAAAAACTATTCGAGATAGGTATAGGTTAGTATAATAGAAAAATTATGAAAATCTAAAGTAGTTTCCAAAAATGTAATAATATATCGGGTGTTCCAGTTAAAGTAATATGCTACCATTTTTCAAATAATGCGGCAAAATTGTAAAGCTAAAAATATTTTAAATAGATTTTTTTTTTTTTTTTGTAAAAAAAACAAATTTTCAAAAAAAATCTATCACCGGTTCTCTAAAAACTATATATAACGTATAACGTACCATCCTGGAATCACCCTGTATAACTATATCTTAGTATTTAATAGAATGTTTTTTCATACTTAGGGCCTATCCAGTGTACACTGTGGGAGACTCCACCACCTTATATCCCATAACGAACGCCGGACAACCTCAAGGGCAGTACTACGCGACAGCAACGCCAACCAATGCCGCTCCCAACTCGACCACCGCTGTGACCGGTACGACCGTGGGCTATACCGCCGCCACTGGACAGTACGTCGTGCAACATACGGTTGATCCTGAAGCTCTGATACCCTCTACTAGAATAGGTGCACAAACTGGTAGTGCGGTAAGTATGTCAGGATATGTTGTTGAAATATAATGTATTTTGTGCTCGTCTAAAGTATAGTTATTTGAAGAGCAAAATATGGAAATGGTCTAATATGTGATATTTTTTCAAATTTTATTGAATTTGTTATGATTTAAGGTTAAATATTTTTTAATGAGGAATTAGAAAATATTAATAAACTTACAAATTATTTGAGATATTGACTTATTTTAAATATTTTTTTGTTTATTTTAACGCTCAGTTAAAAAGAAACATAAAGGTACTTTTTACATATTTTGTTCTTCAATTGTTTGTGTAAACTATGTATGTAATGCTTATATAAAAGTTGACATAATCATAAAATCTTTCATTATACAAAAAAAAAATTGTATAAAACTATTAAACCTCATGTGGAGATTCAACATCTAGTATATAATATCTTATTTTATTCTGAGTTAAAAATATCTTATAAATTCTCTTTGGGAAAGAACAGTTTATAGTAGAATATTTTAGACAGGTTTTGTTTTTTCAAACTACTTAAATTTTTGTTTTAAATTTTTGAGGTTTGGACTCGAAAGACAGATATTACTGTTAATTGTTTTTTTTTCAAATATTTTTATTCTTACATTTTTTAGTTGTTTAATTTTTTTTTAATATCGTATTTATCTAATATTAAATTTGCATGTGCCATTAAATATATACCGTATGATCGAAAAAAAAACGGCGTCAGCGATGGCTATGAAATGAAGATCTGTGTCATTTTATATGTAAATTCATATGAGAAATGTCGATTTCCGTTCGTCATTTCCCAGCCAACTGGACGCCTTTTTGCCTATCATATGGTACATAGTGTGCAAAATTCTTGGATACCTACGTATACATTGGCATGTTAAAATTAACCGCTTTCCTTGCTCTGATTACTAACTTGGGTGTACAGGAATATGTCGCTACTACCGCGGGACAGTCCACGGGTCAGGTGGTAGCCGTAAGTTCCAACGGTGAAGAAGTAGGATCTCCATTGGGGCATGCTACTAGAGTATCTCCTGCTACTGTAAGTGTTTGTTTAGAGGTGTGTATCCATATGATAAGACTGCAACACTATTTTATTCACGTACACATAAAACCGGTTTGTTACATTTTCTAGCGATTGACAGATTACGATAATTCTGCACGCACCATTATCTAGTAGATAGACTCTATGTGGAAGTATTTATTTATAATACTAAGGGCTGGCAAAGGTTAGTCTTGGGTCGAGATTTCCGTATGTAAGAAGAGTACAATGCGTTTATAATGTACTGAACAAAGGGAGAACAGTAAACACGTTGCCAAACGTATGAAATAAACCGAGAAACTGTGCACATTGCTAAGATACGTGGAAGGGGATATAGCAGATTTTGTCGCAGTCGATCGATTTACTCAATCAGTACCTCTGTCAGTACTTAAAGTTCCAGGAAAAGGTGTACATTATGCATTCAGCTTCACGATTTAATTACATTAGATAAAAAAGTTACACGATTGCTAAAAATTGCTACATACTAAAAGTAAATGGATGGGTTGTTTAAAATTTTTCAATTGAAAAAATCAACCTTATCGAATTTTTCTTATTTAAACATATTGTAAAAGATCCGATCTTCAAAATAAAATTTTTTTCAATGTCTAAAGTGGTTCTTAAGTTATGGCGTGTTAAATTATCGCGATTACTGACGTTTTATCGTTATAAAAAAATGGACACTCTAACTATATCCTTACAATTCCATTTTAGATGCTCAGAAAGATATCTAATGATTTTATCTAGTTATCTTTTCGAAAAAAAAGTCGTTTAAAAATAAGCGGTTTGCGATCGTGATTTTATTTTACTTGATAGGGAGGGACGTACCGGGAACGCCGCATCAGCACACCGTCGCATTTCTCTCACTCCAGCTTAATAAGATCCCTATGCGATTTACTTCCACATATGTGAATGCCGACCCAATAGTAACAGTTGCCAGCACGGTATGTTTCCTACTTTTTTGATTCCTGAAATTAACTTTTTAGTTTTGTCTTAAATTCAATAAAAAGAATTATTTATTTCCTGACATTGTCATTGTCTAAAGTGTCAACGTTTTGACACTTTAGTTTTGTATAACGAGTTTTTGGTTTAAATAAGGTGTTGTGATACTTAAAAAGTTTACTAGACCTTGCAGTCGAACATTGTTCTTTTTAGAACCTCTTATAGTGCGAAGTAGTACAAGATAGCAAAATAAAAACACTAAATCGCCACAATACACCAAAACACTTTTACTTTTACACTGGGCGCGCGTTTCACTAACCATGTTAGCATCATCAGCAGATGATTATAAACTAAAGTACAATCTACAAGTTGAGCGTTTATATACTCGCTCATTGGGCACCGAGTGGGCGTGGCAAAATCTAGCCAACCGAGTCAGAGCCAACTGAGCGTAACAGTTAGATTTCCGCCACTAGAGTAGTAGGAACAAAGAACTTGAAGGAATTAGACCGTTGACTCTGTTCATACTATCTTTTATATTACATTTATTAATTCTGATGCTTTCTATGCATCTAATTGCCTGTGATTTGAGACTTGTTTATTAATTTTAAATTATTAACATCTATACAATGTTCTTCGTCAACAATATGTTCGGCAACGCAAGATTATCCGGTCTACCATATCTTATCTGAGCTAAATGTTCTTTAAATCTAGTTAATATTGATCTTCTAGTTTGCCCAACATATTTCTGATTACACTCTGGAAGCAGGGGCCTCTCCTTTTCAGTGGGTGTTTTTCATCTTTTTTGATTACCTAATTGCTTGTATTTATACACAGCATACAAGTTTATAATGGACATTCTTAAAAATTCCCTTTTGTGACCACGGATAACTCTCATCAAAACGTATCGAAAGTATTATTTATTATCTTCCACTTGAAAAGTCGAATTTTGGAATGTAGCTGAGTGTAATGGATATTCTACTTCACTATTTGATAAATTAATTAGAAAACGTAGGTATAGGTTATTGATTTCTGAAAATTCGACTTTTCAAGTGGAGAAAGATACGTCTAAATATTTTTCGATACCGTTTGATAGAGAGTTATCCCGTGGTCTAAAAGGAATTTTTAAGAATGTCAATTATAAACTTGCTTATAGTGCTAATAATAAATTACAACAATTATTAGGTATCCAAAGGATAAAACACTCCACTGGAAAGGTCGGTATTTATGAAATTTCTTGTACTGATTGTAACATTTAGCTCAGATAAGATATGGTAGACCGGATAAATCTTGCGTTGCCGAACATATTGTTGATAAAGAACATTGTATAGATGTTAATAATTTAAAATTAATTAAACAAGTCTCAAATTACAGGTAATTAGATGCATATGAAAGTATCAGAACTAATAAATGTAAAGATAGTATGAACAGAGTCAACGGTCCAATTCCCTTCAAGTTCTTTGTTCCTACCACTCTAGTGGCGGAAATCTAACTGTTACGCCTCAGTGGGCTCTGACTGCTTGGCTAGTTTCTGCCACGCCCACTCGGCGCCCACTGAGCGGGAAAGTATATGCAAAATGCCCAACTTGAGATTACTTAGTTTATAATCATCTGCTGATGATGCTAATTATGGTTAGCGAAAACGCGCTGTCCAGTGTAAAAGTAAAAAGTTTTTTTTTTTTTTTTTAAGATTTAGTGTTTTTATTTTGCTGTGTAACACCAAAGGTTCCAACCCTCAACTGTAATGGTACAAGATAGCTTAATAGCTGTAAAAACTCATTCGCAACTTTATTGAGAATATATTTTGAACGGAAAAGCGGTAGTTTATGTCCTTTAAATGTTGTTATGAAGCGAGCTTTGTTAATGTAAATAATAACTGTTTCTATATTTGGGCAATTCCATGATTACTCACGGGATATTTAGAATAACAACAAATTTTAAGAAATTGTATTGTGTCCCTCATATGGGCTAGGTAAAGCTTTAGGTTATTATTTTCACAGACAATGATTTGAAATTATTTCTGCCAGAATACATGAACAAAAATATTGAAATTTTTTTTTTTTTTTATTAATAAAAACTATATTACCACGGACATAAAACAATTTGGATTTTTCAAATTTTGTTTTAAAAGTTTTTTTATAAAAACGTACCTATACAAAATAAAAATACATTAAGTGGAATTAGGAACTTATGCTGAATTAAATTAATTTGCTATAGGTGTATTACAAGATACAGATATATTTGGGATATAAATAATTTGTTGATTACTCACGGGACTTGTTTCGGGAAATTTTAAGTTTTGGCCTAATACCTCAATTAAAGTCGCAAATGTTAGCATGATACCTGCACACACATACGTCATGGGGCATTATATGTACTTGATATAGGCGTAGTCAAAACATTTATTAAAATATACCAGCTATCTTAAGAAAAAATATGTGGCCACGGCACTGTTTGGACCCATGGTAACAATTCTGTCTCGGGTCTTATTTGTCCTTGTATTCTTTAGTCATTGATTTCATATGAACTTTAGGTATCTATTGTACTTATCCATACAAAATTAAATATTCTTCCGATATTTTAAACTTTTGTATACCAAACGATCGAAAAACGGTGCTGGTGAATTGTCTTGGAAATAAAGATCGCTGTCATTTTATATGGGGAATATGACCTATCAATTATTGCCAAGTCAAGTCGGGGCCATTTTTATTTTGATCATACGGCATGGTCGATAAAAACGACGTGTCAAAGACGGCTGGGGAATAACACCATGATAATTTTGTGTCAATTTCTATAAATGTTATTTTACTAAAATTTGATATAAAAACTTGACAAAATTAACATTACTTAACTATAAAACGATTAAAGAGGATGGAACGTTTCCAGACACAAATAAATTTCCAAAATATATTTTTTCCCGAATTTTAAACTACACCAATTAAAAAATCATTTTTACTCAATAAAGTAAATTACATCCTTAAGGCCAACTGGCAGTAAGCGCCATTAGAAAGAAGAAAAGTACGGGCCAAGTAAATGACGCCCAGGGCTTCTGACCTCGGCAAAATTTTCATCGATTGTCACTACCCAGCCAGCCTTTGACGCCGTTTTTTTTCTTATCGTATGGTATGAGATAACTCGCACAATGGATACACACCTTTAAAATTCATTACTGTTATTAACCGCATATGTTTGTTTAAATTAATATATCTTCATTTGTGGTGGAGGGTGTTTCGAATTGTTTAGTTAACTTGGTTTCTTGTAATGGTTTTTGTTTATTTCAACAAAGTGCTACCTTAGTTTTTTTCCTTTTTTAGTAGCATCTAAGAATGCACCCCAAGTTTTGAAAAATGTTGATTTTTTAAAATATTGATCTCGTTTACAGAAATTTTACTCTTACAAATATTTTTGTAGAAATATTGGTGTTTTTTGTTTATGCTGACAACAGTTAATTATTGATCAAAATACATTTATTAATATGAGCACTTTTTTTATTAGTTCTTGAAGGATTTTGATTAACAATTTTAAGAAATTTCTTAAATTTGATCCATATTAAAAATCGAACATTTTTTCATCCTATCCCCAAGACCTATAAGTTTCTAATTTGTACATTTTTAATAACCATTATTTCAGGTGCAATGGCTGTTGGAGAACTACGAGACTGCAGAAGGGGTTTCTTTGCCGAGGTCAACTTTATACGCGCATTATTTAAGACACTGCTCCGAAAATAAGCTGGAACCTGTAAATGCTGCTTCTTTCGGCAAGTTGATAAGATCGGTATTTCTAGGATTGAGAACGCGCCGATTAGGAACCAGGTAAATTAAAGAAGAACATTATAGTCTGTCCAACGGGAGGATTCCTAACAGTGACAGTTGTGTGTTGTGTTTGTCATTTTTATTCGCAAGCAAATTGAATTTTCTGTCATTTTATGGATGTCGTCTGTTGTCTGTCCAACGACAAGATCCTTGACAGTGATAGATGTGTCTGTCATTTTAATTTCAAAGTAGTTTATTTTATTTTACAAAGAAATAAGTCGGTACAACTGGAACGCATATCAGGAAATTAGTATATTTAAAATTTGACTGATAAGTGAATTCACTTCACAATATTGTGAAAAAAACTGTATAAAACCGGAAAAAATTAATTGAGTTATTTTATTTAAAAAAAAAAGCGGTATGTGTTAACCAGAACAAAACACTACAAACAAAAAAAATATATTTCTTACTTTCAAGCTTTAAGAAACTTCCTGCATTTATTATTATATTTATCAATATATCTTATGTACAAATATTAAATTTGTAATATTCCAGGAATAAATAAAACAACAACAACTATAACAAACTATTTTAATAATAACTCTACCAAATTTTATACCTTAAAGGTTGATTAATTAACTTTAAATCTTAATTTTTAAACCAGTACCTTCTGACGTTATTTTTCTGCAGTGCTAAAATCCATTATTTACCTATCGTGCCATGTCGATATTTTACAGCTATTCCAGAAGTATATGTTTAATGATCCTTGTGTAGCATATACGAGATGCATTTATCTGATACAAACTTTATTGATGGTAACTTTATTGGTGTAGACTTTCTGCCTGGGCAGCGAGTACTAACTATAAACTGTACTGGGTCTGCAGTTAATTTTCACACGACTTTTCCTCCACTTGACTTAAAAAGACACAAACACACGTAATAACACGAATCAAAATGAAAAATCTTCCAAAACGCAGATATTTGACATGTTGACACAAAAATTATAACCTAGAATTTGGCAAAACTTTGACAAGCCTCAAAAATCTGAAGGCGAGTTCATACGCATCGGCGTCCGCTTGTCGTTCATCGTTCCGTCAAACCAATAAAATTTGAAATATGATCTGTCATTTTGAAATAAACCAATAAAACTGGTTAAAAACAACAAGAGACAACGTATGACGGATTTATATTTAAACCATCCATAGTTAACGTAAAATTATATAATATTAGAAACTTTTTTTAGTAAAATAAATATTAAGTGGGACGTCATCTGTTTTTTTTTTTTTTTTTTTTTTTTTTTTTTGATTTGTATTTGTAAAATAAATACATTAGTATATATAGTTATTTCTCTCCTACATTCTTGGTGGTTGATTGGACACATGTCTTTGTGACTTTTAGAACCTGCCTCCACTGATTGGTTTCCATAGGTAGCTACTGAATATTTCTATATTAACGACTTACAATTTCTTATCTAGAGGGAACTCAAAGTATCACTATTATGGTATCAGAGTGAAACCAGGATCGTCTCTTGTGAACGTCGAAGACTCTTCCAGTCGGGTGGTGCTGACTTCGAACTCCTCCGGGAAGGCGCAAGGCACGGTACGACCATTCAAACGTAATTCGGAGTCATCGGAGCACCAAACATCGAACGGGGCTCTTTTACAGCACGCAGCGTACCTAGGTGACGGTAGCAACGCCATACCCGTTTTTCCTGACATGCATTTCACCGAACAGTTACCTGGAGATTGCGGATATGAAGATGTGGATACTCTGAAGTAAGTTTAACGTAATTTCTATAAACAAAACAGTATTCAAAATCGACCAACGTTATGACAAGCGCTATTTTCTAACACTAGTTATGAAAGTAGAACTGTTCTATTAGTTGCGTAGAGTTTTTTCAAGTTTAACAGTTTAGAAACCAAGGCGCAACAATTTTCAGTCTTCTGTATTAAAGATTGTTTGTTTAAAGACTTGAATTGAAATACTCAACAGTCAAAATTAAAAAAATATGTATAAAGGTGCCTCATGATAAATAAAATTTGTGCAAATCTTCAAATTGATGTGTGTTCGTCTATACATTTAGTTAGTGCTATTTTCTGAATGATTTATCTAAAGCGGCCCATACATTATCAAACAAATTGCACAACAAAGCGATGCGCTACGTTGCGTTGTACAACTGATTCAGCGGTCCATACATTATCAAACAAGTTGCGCAACAAAGCGATGCGCAACGTTCCTTTGCACAAATGCATCACCCATGCACTTAGTAAAATTTTGATCAAACTTTTTATTAAAAGTTGTGCATTGTTTGAGAAACAATCGTGTCCTCAATTGCCATTGCGTCAATTATTTTCGTATATACCCTAATGATGTCAATGATACCAAAAAACGAAAAAGAAAACAAAGAATTTGGATGAAAGAACTAAAATATTGCACAACAAAGCGCAACACACACATACACTACACAACGCGCTGTTGCACAAAAGAATTCAAACATTTTTGAAACTTATCAAACAATTGCGCAACGCATCAAACGTTACCATACATTGGCAACTCGTTGCGCAACAGCCTGTGTTGCGCAATTTGTTTGATAATGTATGGGCCGCTTAAGATATAATATAAACACATATACAGGGTGGTTCGAATTGTATTCGGAAAACTTTGCTAGCATATTCAACCTATAAAAATAAGTAAAAACTTCGTATAAATGTATGTCCTAAAATACTTCGTTTCGGAGACACAGGGTGTAGGGATTTCATTTTTATTTCGATTTTTTCCAAATAATTTCTAAACTAATGTAAATATTTGAATGAAAATTGGTGTCTGGGTATTTTTAGACATGAAAAATTTGATTTCAACGTCAATATGACTCCTACTTGTAGGGGGGGCCACCTACATATATCTTCTAACTAGTTTGAAGAGTAATAACCTTAAGTAAGTACCTGGATAAAACTACTGAGTGGAAAAATATACATTTCCATCGTTTTTTACGTAAAAAAGGCCTCTTGGTAAAAATCGCTGCGACTAATCGTGTTCAAGATATTTGGAATGTAAATTATCAATACACGTAATGTTATTTTTATGTGCAGAATATGCTGCGGAAGTTTGCCGGATACAATCGGACCACTCTGTATATATTTTGTTGTGAAGAACTGGAAAATGATGACGAATTATTAATATTTCTGCTGCCATAAGTATAATTATGAGAAAAAAAAACTAATATGGAAATAAGCAAAACCAAAACGAAACAGATTTTACACAAACCAATTTGCGCAAATTAATTGAGAATCTAAATCCTTATACTTAAACACAATACAAAATGTTTTCACAAAACATTTGTGTACCTATTATATAAAATAACTATGGAAGGAGTCTAAAACTATTTTAATATTTATAGATTAGAGAGGGTAGCTACGCCATAGCAACGTTGTTTTGTTAATTTTCTTTGGCTTTTTTATTGACAGCTTTTGATACCAGAAGTCAGGCCAGTCAATAAATATGTATTTGCAGTCTTGCCCATTTTGTTGATATTCTCTCTTTTCTCAGTCTTCTCATTTAATGTTGTAGAAATCTACTGAAGAAATACACAAAATTTTTCCTAATGGGTTACATAAAAATCTGTTGGCTAAATTAAGTTCTCTTTTCTTAGATCGATTTATAGGGAACATTTGGAAGCCTTTCTTGATGCCATACTTAGCTTAGAGTTCAACACTGTCGAGTCGTTATGGCGGGAATTTTGGCGGTCGCAGTACAATAATAATACGGACGAATGTGAGGAAGAGAAGTACTTATCAAAGTAAATGATCAGTTTTATAAAGTACGCTATTTTTTCTAATAATATTTATTTTCTAGGTCAAAATTATTTTCCCTATGTTCTTTGGAACCAGTGCAGCAATTCATAAAGCAAGTAGATCTGGTTTTCTATCAGAATTTAATTCAAGTTTTAGTTCCCGACGTTTTGAAACCGATTCCTGCCACGTTGACTCAATCCATAAGAAATTTTGCTAAAAGTAAGTTTACAGTTTTTTGTAATACCATTATGCAAAGAAAATAATTTTTAAAATAAAAAATTATATATATAAATCCGGGTTCGTAGCGTCCTACCCTTTCCGGTTGCCAGCCTTTCCTATTTTCTTAATCCCCTGGATGAAGATTCCTCTCCGGCATAGCTTTATGTACTCCTCCAATCCATGTTGCTTTTGGTCTTTCCTTTTTTCTACTTTCTCATGATATCCATTCATCCTCGCTCATTCTTTCTACATGCCCATACCATACCAGCTGTTTTCTCTCTATTTCATCTATTATCGTTTGCTGGAAATGCATACTTTCCCTTATCTTTTTGTTCGGTATTCTTTCCATTCTTAATATCCCCGCAGATCTTCGCCAGAAGTTCATCTCGAGTATTAATAGCCGTTGTTCCATTCTATTAGTGAGCTGCCATGTTTCAGATACAAAGAAAAAATATTTTCTATGTGAAATGGTATTGAAAAGGTGTATGACAACGTTTCTGTATTTTTGAATTAGGTATAATTCATCTAAAGTAAACGCCACGAATGTTTGGGAGTGATTCATCGGTCGCTACCATGTGAACTAATCTGTTCAAGGTCACATAAAACTTAATTCCAGTGCCGTGGTGTTTCAAGTCATATAATAGTCAATATATAATCTGTTGTAATTTGTTGTTTTAGCTGTCAAAGTCTTGTCAAAACATATATTTGGTTATAAATATAAACTGGAATGCCCCATTGGTCGCACTGCAAGCACACCAATGGACTGACGCACAAAAACGAATAAATCAAAGAAACACGATATAGTATCGTCTTTGTCATTCACGCTAACATTTTAGAATAAGTAGGAGGAGCGCAGGTGGATGATTAGACCGGGCCTTTAAAAACCTACGTCTGCGGTAAAAATTTACGTTTTTAATGTAAAAATGATAGCGCGCGTGTCGATTCTAACTTCATCAAGCGAGGAATCACTCCCAAACATTCGTGGCGTATACTATAGATCATTATTCATTATTAATTGCAGCAGAAGCATGGTGTATACATATAATAATGTTTAGATTATATTATGCATTTTGTATCCATTTATTTACTTTATTATTACCTATTACTTTATTATTAAAAACTGAATATAAATAACTTTGTACAGATTTGGAAAGTTGGCTGACCAGCGCGATGGCAGGTGCTCCATCTATGATGCTTCAAATCAAGCTATCTGCTGTGTCGGCGTTTAGTTCTAGTCTTCGCCGTTATACGTCGCTGAATCATTTGGCGCAGGCAGCGCGGGCGGTACTACACAATGGAAACCAAATCGGACAAATGTTGGCGGATTTAAACAGGGTAGATTTCCACAGTGTTAGGGAGCAAGCTTCTTGGGTAAGGAATACCAAAAGTTTTTATATCTCTCCTTGTCGGCAAAAGCAAAAAGAAAAAGAAAAATGGAAAACTATTTAAAATTATCATTGATAGACTTTTCTAAAATAATTAAATAAATAAATAAATGTATTTATTGTCAAAAATGTTTACAATTTGTAGACAAAGGTAAAGTAAACAAACAAACAAACTAACTAAAGAGAATACAAAACAAGTATACAAATTACATTGTCAGTCTTATTGTTTAAAATAAACATATATACATGTTTACAATGCCAAAGAATAAAAAAATAAAAATAAGATTCAAAAATATTTAGTAAGTTTATAGTAAATATCAATGACCTCTAAATAACTTTATTTCGATATCATTGGTAAATATAGTAACAGCAAACATTAGACCAGTCTTTACAACATCAAATTCGATTATCAAAATATAAGTCATTTACGGCGTAGAAAGCCGTGTCTAGTAAATAAGATTTCAATGCTTTGCGAAATGAAGAAAATGATGTTATGGATTTGATTTCAAATGGCAGGTGATTGTGCATTTTTTTCGAGTTGTATAATATTGAACTTTTAACTAACTCTGAGCGTGGGGTAGGTAGATAAAGATCTTGCTCCGCGTTCCTGAGTGGATAACTGTGAAATGGCCTTTCTTGAGAAGCTGATACATGCTTACGTATTAGGCAAACTGATTCAAATTTAAATAAGGAAGGAAGAGTTAATATTTTTAATTTTTCAAAAAAGTCCTGGCAATGAGTTCTGTTGTTTAGTCCCAGTGAATATCAAACAATTCTCTTCTGGAGCTTGAAAATACGGTCAAATTGAGTCGCACAACACGTACCCCAGAATGGAAGGGCATATCTGAGGTGCGACTCAAAAAGTGCATAATAAACAGTTCTAGCCACTGACAAGTTAAGCTCCTTAGAAACATCTTAATGCAAAACAGGCAGAGCTCAATTTGCCCCTGTTTTTTACCATACGGTATTTTTTATGTCTCTTTGTTATAGGTTTGCCAGTGTGACAACGAAATAGTATCGCGATTTGAAAACGACTTTAAGCTGACCTTGCAGCAGCAAAATTCACTGGAACAGTGGGCGTCTTGGCTAAAAAACGTAGTTAAGAGCGCTCTGAAGCCGTACGAGGGCAGACCCAGTTTTTCCAAGGCAGCTAGACAGTTTCTTTTAAAATGGAGTTTCTATAGGTAAATATTTATGTGATTGTAAAGGAAATCGGTAAGAAATATTTTTTTCCAGTTCAATGGTGATAAGAGATTTAACTCTTCGATCTGCCGCAAGCTTTGGATCGTTTCATTTAATTCGTCTACTTTATGATGAGTATATGTTTTATTTGATCGAACATCAGGTTGCTGAGGCTACTGGAGTAGTTCCAATTGCTGTCATTTTGGAAGGAATTGTAAGTAGTAAGGCTAGTGCATTTAATAAATAAACAAGAGACAGAAGCTATTTATTATTATACTATTTTATAGTCATCATTAAAGAAGGAAGCGATGTAATTGAATATTTTTTCCGTTTTGTTTGTCTTTTTCCTTGAGAATTTTGAATATTTTTGAAGCTTCTCTGTGTTAATTTTTTATAACTTCTTGTTTATTTTATAATTATTGATTTTATGCAAAGCGTATAAATAAGGAAAACATTATAACTTGATTTAGACTGAAATGAGCGTGAATCTTAGGAAAATGCTTCAAAAATACCTACATTTGTATTCTTGCATTTTACATTTTTTTTATTTATATTCAAAGTCTACAGTTTTCTTTAATATAAATAGATACTGTTAAATCCATTTTACAGTTGCCCAAGTCCCTTTGATCCAATTACAACTATGCATTATAACCTGCCTTCGCTTCTAGATTTTTTATGGATTCTATCAACGAATTATTTTTTTCTTATAGAAACAAGATATAATGCAAAACAGTTTATGCATTTATGGAAACAACGATTCTGTATATAATGGTGGAAAATTAGGATGCGTCAGTCCCACAGAACATTTAACAAAACGACAGAAAATCAGCTAGCCTGGACAGGTGTTGTAGGTAGTAACGAGTTTAGTCTTTGGGTCCCAGTAGGAATATTTTTATAATACTAAAGAGATTATTGGAATTGTTGTTATACGTAAAGCATACCATTTTTTCTTTAAAATGAGAATATAAGTCGGTAATTTATGTGCACTTTTCTATGTAGTTGCTTTTTATCAATTTTTCAAAGTTACTTTTGTGGTATTGTTGAAATACTCACAAATTGCCTTTTCTGTTATCAGATGTTTTTTTTCTCTTAAAAGGGGAGAAAACCTGTATTAAAACTGAATAATATTAACTTATTAGATCTTTTTGATTCTTGTACGAATTCTTTTTTTTACATAAGAGCACTTTCATTGAAACATTATTTTAATTTTACAGGTGTAACAGTCAATTTTATTATTATGAACTGTGTGTGACTCATTCTCTATAAAATAAAGTTGTATTTATTGAGTATAAAATCTTTAAAGCGTCACATTCTTGGCGCCCAACGTGGAGCCAGCTGAAATCGTGAGAAGTTTGAGTCCCACGTTGGGCGCTAAGAATGCGGCGCTTTTAAAATTTGATATTTGATATTCAATAAATGCAATTTAAGTTTTATAGATACATAATGAGATACACAGAGTTCGTAACGAGGAAGTTGACTGTTACACAGAAGGTTATTCTACTGTAGTCTGTCTAACTCAAGAATGTATGATAGTGGCTTTATAGAAAGTTATAGAGTGAATTTTTGTAAGGAATCGATTTAAAGAGATATAAGTATATTGTTAAATATTCATTTATGAATTTACAGTAGGTCAAAACCTTTTATATAGTCTGTACCACGATAGTTCAACGATACGTTATCATTATTTATTTTATATCCGTTTTAGAGTGTGTCCGAGATTATTTCATATTGTTTAGAAAATTTAAAAAACAAGTATGTTCCGATATTAGTAATTGAGCGCGTTGAGATTTATTTATTTATTATTAATTTCAAGTAGGAATTTTTGGTTGTTTCAAGTTGTTATTTCAATTTCAACAACCGGATTAAAATTTGGTTTGACAGTGTAGTCGATTTTTAATTTTGACACTGATATCCGTCAACAGGATCATAACCACAAACGTGAGATGACAGCTACTTGAAACAATGTGCAGTGATTTACGCAAGGTCGTAATGACCTTTACACTCAATTTCATTTCGTTTTCACCTCTAAGAGAAAATACGACGATATAATATGACGTAACGTTGAGCTATGATTGTACAGACTCTATCCAGTTTTACCATACAAGACCAAAATACATTTTTTAACATTTAATTTTAATTTTAAAATTATTAGGTAGCATTTATGAACTCATATCGTGTAATGATTAAGTTTTAATCACCTGTTAATGATATTCTTACATTGTTGGGCATACGTGCGTCTGGTCCTTATATAGTCTGTCCGACGAGAGGATCCATGACAGTGATAGTTGTATCTGTCATTTTAAATCACAGATAAATTGGATTTTCTGTCATTTTTTGGATGTCGTCTGTCGAAATATTCTCCGACTCATTGGACAGACTATACTTTGACATAATATACGGGAATGTATCATATTTTAATAATATTATTACGATTATGCATGAATAATTACTTAATCTTTTTATTAGCATGTATTTAAAATAATGTTTTAACGTTGAATCGTCATTTTATTAATTTTTTTTATTAATTTTAATGAGATATATTTTGATAGCAATATTTTATTAAAATAAATTATAATTTATTTTAATTTTAATTATAAATATTTTATATTAATTTATTGATCTCGTGTCCCGTTTGTTAATCTGCCTAACGACAATTTGAATAATCCTTTAGGTCTTTTTACTTTAGTACCAAAATCCTACTGGCCCATAGTAATATTTTACGTTTTATTATATTTTTGTTATAACTTTTGTTTGATTTTGTTGTTGTTTTGTTAACCGTTGCTTTATTTATTGCACTGATTTGTAATTTTATTATTTATTTCAATAAATACTGACTGTTGGATTGTATGCCGATTAATTTATATAAAATCTAGTGTTGACTGGTGTAATATTTTATTTCTGTAACTATTTTGTACTTGTGTTGAACGAATTGAAACACAATTGATAGAATATGGATGGTTTTTCGGCAATCGGCAATGTATGTAGATATAGAAGATTAAAATGTTTTTATCCCTTTTCATATTACTTATGTGTGCAATACCATTAAATTCTTTTTTAATTTGGATATAACAACAGTACTTTTTTAAAAAATAATTAAAATTATTGCATTATTGCAAATATTTGCAAACACAGTATTTATTTCTTGCAAATACAATATATTTGATTTTGGAAAGTTTTACAATATGGAAACTACCTTTGAAGAAAGTTTATATGGACTTTCTTCAGCATATTCAATAACAAAAAAAAATCGTGATTTCGATCCCAGGTACACGTTTATGAGTTTTTTTTCAGTTAAAAAATATATCTTGATAATATGGCAACAAAGGTGGATTAAATTTAGAGGAACGAAAACACATAAAAAATCCAGTGAATCTCAAAATTTAAGATTTTTTTTTAATTTTCAAAGTAAATTAACTTGGTTATTTTGAATTTATTTGAAAAACGGTAAGAGAAAATATGTTTTTTATCGATATCTACCGGTCCTGAAAATATACAACACACCCTATATCCTGTATAGGCTATAATAGTGGGATTAAGTGACAAAATATCGAAACATGTTAAATTAATGTTTATTTACAAGATTCTCAAAATTTATGCAATTTCTTTTTAATTTTCAAAAAAACTTGGTTATTTTGGACTTATTGGAAAAACGGCATTGAATTTTGATTTTTTTAAGAAAGTACTGTTGGTTATATTTGTCTTATTTGTGGATAATTTTGAAAATGTTTTCTGGGCCACCTCTCGTGCAATGCATGATCCGAAAAGTGCCGCAAAATAAATTTAATAGATAGGTATTTGCAATATTTTATTACATTTTTTAAATATCATAAACCCCCGGCACAAAATTCCGACACCCTAAAATTTCGATGTTTCATAACTTTTGACATTGTAAACCGTATTGTATTTTTATGATTATGGCATTAGTTTGTAGATAAATTTGTTGGCATTATTTTTTATTATTTTGATGTCTTATACAGGGTGTTTCAAAAAACATGCGCCATCTTTTGTGGGGAGTTGCCTTACGTAAAAATAAAATTTATTTTTCATATCAACATAGGTCCGATTCTGCTTTGTTTCGTAGCTACAGGGTGTTAAAAGTCTTTTTTTTTTATTTATTATAATTTTCTTCTAAGTACTTTTAGTGATTCGAATGAAATTTTGGGGTTAAAAATCAAGGTAAAAATTACTATAAGTGCTACATATTTTATTGCTAAAAATGCGTCAATAAATTCATCAGGGACGGGCATATGGATTATCACGAATATTTTTCAAAAAAAAACATGTGCGCCACTGACTTTTTTCATTTAATATCAAAATTATGTAGGCCGTTTAATACCAATTTGTCGACATTTTGGATACGGACATTTTGTCGAATTCGGCCTCCTTGATGAGATAAACAATTTTATTAATCACAATAATTAATAAAATTAAAATTAAAATAAAATGAATAAATTATATATTTTACCTAATTTATTATTAAATATTATTATTATTATTAGTTATTATTACTATTAGTCCAACCTACGGCAATGTCAAATAAAAAATTATGATCTTTAAGATAATTACAAAAAACCTAATTTTAAAGTTTTAATTTCCTGTAATTCTAAAACTATGCATTTCCATACCCATGTATATTGAAACTTTTTTTTTATATTTTTTGGTGAGGAATCAATGAGTACTTATTTAAAACTTTCGCAAATTAGTGATATTATTTTTTTTTTAAAGGTTGCTACTTTGCCATCCAACGGTCCAAGTCTAAACTTGGGCCTTGGTCATTAATAAAATTACGTTTATCTTATCAAGGAGGCCGAAATCAAGAGACAACTTTTAATTGGCATTAAACTGCTTACACTATTACCCCAACAAGATAAAAAAAGTCAGTGGCGTACATGCTTTTTTTAGAAAAATATTCCAGTGATAACCCATATGCACGTCCCTGGTGAATATGTCGACACATTTTTAGCTTTAAAATATGTCGCATTTATAGTAACTTTTAATCTCAAAATTTCATTTGAAAAGCTAAAAGTAGTACTTGGAAAAAAATATAATAAATCGAAAAAATATTAACACTTTAATACTCTGTAGCTACGAAACAAAGCAGAATCGGACTTATGATGATATGAAAAATAAATATAATTTTTACGTGAGGAATCTACCCACGAGAGATGGCACATGTTTTTTGAAACAACCTGTATATTTCGGTTAGGTGGGTTTATACCGGGGTAAATCAAAACTTCGTTTTTGCAGTATATTCTAAACACCTTATGGAAAAAATGAGACGTGCATTTTGGATAAAAAAACCAATCTTAGATGTATTCCTAACCTTTCATTTTTTGAATTATCTTGTATTTGTTGAAAATGGAGCTCCCAATGGTCACCGTTATATTGAGGATGTTCTCCAAGAAGTTGTCGTTCCATTTGCTCCTTTTATTGGAAATCAGTTTATACTGATGCATGATAATGCCAGGCCCCACATTGCGCGGGGTAACGAGTTAGAAGTACCTTAACGAGAACCTGGATGAGGTTGGACTACGAACAATGGCCTCCTTGTACTCCCGACCTCAATCTAATCGAACATTTTTGTGCGATGAAATTAAAAGAGCTGTCCGTCGTCGTCCTATTCTACCACAAACTTTACAAGAGCTATGACTAGCATTTTAGCACCAATCATGGAGGAATCTCCGTTAATTTTAACCTGAGCTCTTGTAAATGGTTTTCTTGTCTATAGCTTGATATTCATCAAGATATAGATCAAGAAAGAATAACTACCCTTATTCGTTCGATACGACGAAGACCTCGGGCTGTTATTGTTGCAAGAGGTGGACATACACGCTATCAAAATTACGATAAAATTATTGTTTTTGTCTATAAAAAATCTCTGAAATCAATACTTTACTTAAAAATGTGTAGCTCATAAAAGAATAGGGATAGTGGGATAATTCAAAAA